ATTAAGAATGCATAATACAAACTGTCCCTGTAAGTGATTATCATTAGTTATCATATACTTTATTTGTCTAAAAAATAGAAGTACATTACAAACATATGTACATTTTGTTGTAATATCTTCCATCGTCAAGTAGTGGAAATTACTACGAAATGAAGTGTGTATGAATTGTCGTAATAATGTATGTAATAATACCTTTGACACAGTATCTGACTGCTTTCAAATCTAATTCATATTAACTAGTGCAATCTTGAACCCTTAATCCCACTTATGAAGTCGCATAACTGAAGGGCGCACCATTATTCTCCCTTTTCAAAGACTCACAATTAATGCTCGATAACATTTGCGGATGAATGCCACTGCAGCAGAAACCTGTCATTCACGCAGACTTTCTCTGCTTCTGAAAGTCCTTCACTGACCCATTCTTTTGAAATATATCTCATAGAAATAACACGGTGAAGGCAAACGCGCCGAGGACGGCCGCCACGTGCACATTAGCCGGGAGAGGAGCGGGGACAGGAGAATTATCGGGAGTTTGGAGAGGAGCGGAGCGAGTTGTTTAGACGCGTTAGTGTGAAGTGAAGTGCGCGCTCCTGCCACGGCCCTGTCGGTGTGCCAGGGCGCCTGATTACCCACGCTCTCCCCCAATTATGGCCTGATTATTCCGCCGCGCTCTAATTGACTGGGGAGATATGCAAATGGCTGTCATTTGGGATGATAAAGGATGCGGGCGCTGGATGCCCCCTGCATTATTTAGCCGGGGCCGTACGCAGCGTGAAGGATGTGGCATGCGCTTTAATTGCTGAGGAGAGAGAGGTTAAGCTGAACGAGCAGCTGAATTAGAATGAGGAATTTAGGGAGCGTTTATTTTTTTTATTTTGTTGAGCTGCGTTGGTCCCATTGCTCTCCATCTATATCACAGTGCTGTTTAGGCACACTCATGCATGCAGCAGAGGGCGTCATGTTGAAATTACATTAGCAGAGCAAATGACTAGGACAGGCAAAACTATGAAGTATATTTAAAACCACTAATGATGCAGTGCCACTTTTTTGCAATTACGTAAATACAGAGGCAGTGATTGGTCAGATCTACATAGACCTAACTGTTACAACTGTAGTGCATAATACATGTAAAGAGTCTTGTCATAGAAACACAAATTAGACCACAACATACTGTCTTCATCTTATTAAAAATCATATTGTAAACTTGTTAAAAAGAGTGAGTCACTATTGGACTGAAGATGAAGATGGGACAGAGGCCAATAATGCATCCACATAAAAACTAGTGATGAAAACAAGCTGTGGGTATGGGTAGAAAGTGTGCTGAAATTTGTCAAGAAGTTTTATGCTATAATCAAATCAAAATCATGGTAATTCAATTTCGGACGGCACAGTGGCTAAGTTGTCAGCAATTCCTGAGTTGCTTGTTCTCCACATGTCTGCGCAGGTATTTTCTGGGTGCTCTGGTTTCTCCTACAATTTAAAACATGTACAATAAACTCACCTTTCTCTGGGGCCAGGACGCCCCCGAAAGAGATTATGAAACTTAATTGGGACACAAAGGTGAAAGAATATATACGTACGAATCGAACATGTGTCTTCAGAAAAATAGATACATGCCGTGTTTGTTACATATTTTATCTTAACTGTCTTCACTCTTACCTACCACTTATAGCACCTCTAACAAACATACATTGTTCATCACATTGTTCATCACAGTAACAATAGTCCCAGTGGCTTTAAGCACTGTTAACTATCCACCCCTGCTGTATCAGACAGGATCTAAAACTCGCTGCTAATCCTTTTTCAGTTGGAGACAAGCGCCGCAGATTTGGCCGTCTTTACCAGCTTAGGGCTAATAGCGTCTCAAATGTCCTTTTCAAAGTGGCCCGCCCCATATCTCCGCATTATAAGGAGCTTAGCAGACAGTGCAGTTATCAGACAGTCGCCTTCTATCGGACTACATGCCATAATTGCTAATGCGTTGGGCTAACTGTTGACATTATCACCCCACACGTGCAGGCAGGCGTCGTCAGGTGTCCGATGCTGTTTGACCCCTTGAACCGTGGGCTTCACCTCTGATTTTCCGCTCTCCCTTCTGTGGGGAACACATTAGCACTGTCTTTTTTTCTTACTGGGATGTGGCGGTATTATCAAGAGATTGTGCTGGCTTTGTGAAGTGTGGCGAATTAAAACGAAAAAGCGCAATTTCTTTTCAATGCTGCCGTGGCTCTCCTCTCTAAGCAACTTTGGGGGAGCCCTGAACAGTTTGTTCTTAGGTAGCTTTTGTTCTCGGATAACACAAAAAGAAGCACAAAAAGAAAAGCCAAAATAGACAGCATTCAGCACTGTTTCCTCCATAAAAAACTCTTTATCATAAAATAGTAGCAGCAGCGTTTTGCTCATTATTCTAATCCCAGGAATGCAGCTTTTATACAGAAAGGCTTTCTCAGGTGCGGGCAGGCGGAAACATGGTAAGCTGTTGTAGATTTGTGTGTCAAAACAAAAACAGACATTTGAATGTGGTTCTTTTTGACCACCTGTATTAAGGAGTGAAGCAACATGAGATTAGGCAAATCTGCTGCATGGTGCATGGGTGAGGCATGGATTAAAGTTGCGTTTGTTATAGACTTTCATCCATCGACAAGGAATTCGGGTTTGGCAATTCAACAATGGAAATAATGGGGAGGGGATAATGGAGATATCTTCATGGGATTCAGTTATTTTCCATTTAACCTCTGCCCCAAATGAGTTCACAGATGAATTCAAACAATTATAGTGACGTGTACAATCAAATCCAACAGATTATATGTCTTTGTTGTTATTTCATTGCCTATGCTTGAACTGTTTGTTGAGGAATCAGGAACGTTGTAAAGTCCTTTGAGACGACTGCTGTTTTGATTTAAAGCTGTTCAAAAATAAGTTGAATTAAATCTGTTTAAAAATGTACACGTTCTGTTTTTGACTCTCCCAGCGAAGAACGATACATACTCCTGCTTTAGTACCAAATTTTATAATAAACTATGTAATAAACCCTGATAGTAGTTAGCACATGCATGTATTTTTGGCAACTGTCACATCCTTAGATGAGCCAATCAGTAAAAAAAACACCGTTTCTAATAAGAGGAAGATACAATGTCTTTATGGATCAACAAAAAAGTAAGGCCCTCCAGCTTTAAGTGTCATATTTCTAACTGTAAACTGTAACTTTTAAACCTTTCAAGCTTATCAATCTTGACGGTTTGTTGAATTTACAGGGTTTCATTTCTTCAGGGTTCTCACTGTGACCATCTTTCACGCTTATACTTAGTTTGAGACAACAGGAACTATAACTATTATACTGATACCACGTCCTCCTTGGATTCACAGTGAGGAAAACTTCAGAACAACTTTGTGCACTTGTGATGGAAACATTTAGCAGACATAGGCGCAGGTTAACGATTTAGCATGCTGAAGAGTCTGCGAAGTCTTCACCCAATCTGCCCCAGGTTCAGTGCAGCATTGTACTTGTACCTCTGCCATTCCTCTGCTAAGTAAGAGCCTGCTCAGGGATCCATAGGAGAACACTGAGTCGTTGCACCTTTATCTCTTCAAACATGCTCATAGACGTGCCAGTGCGCATTCGCCTATACTATTTAGAAGGTGAGGGCACATTAGCACTGACTTACAACAAGGCTGAAAGAGGCTGACACGTCAGAGAACATGTTGGAGAGGCTGAATGAAGATAATTGCTCAAAGGGGCAGTTTTTGTTTGTATGTGGCTGCCGCAAACCAAAGGAACACATTATTTAATAGTTGTTGCTCCACCCCACTATTCAGGTGCTCACAAATATTTGCTACTTTGTATGTATTTACTTTTAGCTTATCGTTTGGATAATGCTTTAATCAGAGGTTTGTGGGGCATGGTAAACAATCATATCTTGATACAATAGTATTCCTGTGTTTTCTCCAGCGCACTATAAAGATGAAGCGAACATCGTCCAAAACCGATAAATGAGCGTACTGCTGCCATGCGCTTGCTTGTCCCTGCGGCTTCCAAACGATAGCTATTGGACTTAATTACAGTTTACATCATCATATTTACCCAGCCAAGAGAGTCAAAGTGGCCACTGAGGTGGGATTTTTGAATGCACTGTAGTCAATGTGTGCAACTATTGAATGTATTTTACCACTGACCTATGCAAACCCAAATCCTGTATGGATAAATATACACATTGGTGGGCACATTAGCGCTGCAGGAAAAGTATGCATAAAGTAGTAGGACTACACAAACATAGATATATCTTCTAAGCCACCCACTCAGCCTCCTAACCTTTTATATACAGGTGCTCATGAGGGCCTCCCAGCAGAAAGTTGCAATGTTGTTTAAAAACTTAGTTGTTGCTTCATATTGCAGCTGTTTAGTTTTAACATATCATATTATAAAGTATATTGTTTGTTGCTGCTTGAAATAAAACCACATGACTTTTGTCAATGTTGACATAATAATGTAATTTCAACATCAGAATACCAAGAAAACCAAGTCACGGTGTGATATGTTCCTTCTAACACAGTATTCAGGCTCGAATTAGTTTGTCCCCAAATGTTACTGAGCCTTGAGCCGCTCTCTCCTTTGACCAGGTCAAGGCAATATATTGAAAAATTGATTTATTAAAACTTTGTTATATAAAACTTTGTTTTATAATGTGAGTGAAAGGGGAGGAGCAGTACCTTTCCTGTGTTGCCCACTCTTCCTGTCTCCACGGGAAGCTGCTTCAGCTGACTCCTCCCTGTCTAGACAGAAAGCTTTCCCTCACACACACACACAACTCTCGCCTCCTTCTACCATGGAAACTTTGATTAATTCCCAAAGTGCAGCGAGAGGAGACAACATCGGCTGCATGGTCAGGGGAGAAGGTGACTGTGACAGCTCCCGGCTTCACTCTGATGCGTAAAGTCCTATAGAGCAGGAGGAGAGAGAGCATGTAGGCTCATCTGTCCCTCGGCTGCTCCAGTGCTCAAGCATGTCTGCGGGAGACAGCAGCTGCAGACACACACCCATCATCAGCAGCAAGGCCAAAGGTTACCAGCAGCTTGCTCTCCAATGCTGTGTGAGAAGTGTAGATTCCATTCTGGGCCCAATGTCTGTGTGTGTGTATGAACGGGGCCATCTCCAAGTATAACTGGTTATTATCACCTCAATATTTTTCTTATTATGACAATTACATGCTCTTGGAAGGAATTAAGCGATACAAGGTGCCGGGCGGAAGCGGTTGACAGCTACTTGGAGACTCAAGGCACAGAGCAATTTGCAGCCCCGAGCTAAACAAATTGGATTTGGGCCACTTTGGACATGGGCCCCAGAATGTTGGGTGTTGGGATGATCCTGCCTGGACAGTTTGTGGACTTTCATTGGTTGTTCACACATGACTACTGTACCTAACACACAATGAGTCTAGTCAATATCCTAAAGCAGAAATACTTTACGGCCATATGGTTGTGCAGTTGTTCAACACTTATTATCATAGATTTAGTCTGTGTTTACAAATGACATCCCATAACTACTATAATAGTGTTAAGCTTTAACACTCTTTAATTTCATATATAGCGTTGAAACATTTTGGCTCAAGCCTCACAGCTGTGCTCAAGTACGTGTATAATCCAAACGAGCCTAACAGCTTCTAAACGAATTACTGGTACACATTTTCCCAGCCCCAAACTGCCACTGGAAAAGCTGGCAACAGCTTCCAATTAGTTGGAATGCAATTATTCCCATCCATTCACACAATTAGCCTGTGGGTTAACAACCTAGCTTTGCACTGGGCTAGCTTCTAGTGTTTTGGAAGAGCCATTGTCATGGTTACGGGACTCTTATGTCTCACCAAGTCAAATGTCATGTGCCTTAGCTGAGGTTCGGTCAAAAATAACACTCATGTCTATTGGTGGTTGCTGAGCATTACATCATTCAGCTGTGTTGTCTGGCTGACGTGATTGGCTGAGACAACGAGTGGTACCAGGGTGAGGGGAAAAGAGAGAAGCGTCAGACGGAACCAATGCCCCATGTGTTGAGCAGAGCAGAGGAGATAATGCCAGGCGACAGACTGGCAGACTGGCAGAGCGGGTGGGCACTCACAGTGGCATGAAGCAAAACAAAAGCTTTGTGTGTCAGAGTCGGGATCGCATTAACCAAAACAAGCAGCCATGGAGCGGCTGCCACAATAACTCTTGTCTGTTCCAGCGGCTGAGCCCACATAGATGGAACGAGATGGCAGCCCCTGTCTTACTCTTGTGATGTAACATTGTGCTAGAATAATGAGAAAAAGCAGATGTTTTTGCTTACTGTTGACATAGAAACTCTGAAATCAAATCAATTCCTTAAAGACCTTATGACGGGTTTGATTTATTTAGAAATACAGTTTTAATACCATTTTATATTAGAAGAGAACTACTAAAGGTTTCAAAATCAGTTGTTGTTTTTTTTGTCTGATCCCCCCAAATCGAAATAACCCCATAGCAACGCCCTTAGAAACGAAAAAACTTCACAGCCCTTGGTGACGTCAGAACGGGTACGTTTCAACGCTGTAAGTTGTTTACAACTTGGTATTCGTTCTTTTTTCTCGGATATTCAAGATGACAAGGCCGTGTACAGCGAGTGTGAGATAACTACTAGAATGTAACATTTTGTTTTCACTGAGATAGTCCAGTGGTTGTGTCGATGGACTGTCAATCCAGATACTTGGGTTCAAATCCCACCTCGGACACTTTTTCTCAAAACGGCAATTTATGTGTAGTGAGCAATTGTCACCTGTAGAGTGCAGTATTGTGTTGGGCATCAGTGGAGAGAAGAGAGAAAAGGCAGTCCTGTGGCATAGATCCATGGTTTTCAATGCATGGGCGTAACCCGCTATGACGTCACACACAGGTTAGAGCATAGACAACTTAAATTCATGAAAAACACGTTCTTTTTATAAAATATAGGATTTTTTTTGCCGGAATCTCTTTCAAATTGACATTGTCATGCAATTTTGATATCCACTATTTTTTTTTTAAAAACCCGTCATAAGGTCTTTAAAGTTCCAATGGAGAGTTGACGGACAATACATTTTACTTTGTAGTACATTCTGTTTGCCTTTAACACTATGTTGTGGTGTACTGTTTACTGTTCTGGCAGTCCTTTGAGAGTAAACAAAAGCGACTTTGTGAGCTGTGCCTGAATACTAGTTATGAGAGCTCAGGTGTGACAACAGGAGGTCAGCTTTGGAGTAGCAGGTAGGAGCATATGTTCACACACAGGTCACTGGCAGGTGACTTCCGCTGTACTCTGTCCAGCTGTGGCACAGGCTCCAGTGTGTTTTATTGTGTGTCGTTTAAACTCACATCCCATTATGTCATACCAGCTCTGCTCTTACTTCACCCAATACTCTTTTGTGCTGTCATTTCGCTGTCAGCTGGATTTGGTGGGGAATCCCTGGAATCAATTGAAAAAAGGGGAACCCGTGAACACACTCGTGTACACTTCTCACGCACCACAGGGAATGAGCGCGGTAACGTGAGCTCACCTTGGTCTGAAGCCTATTATACAATTCATTTTCACCACCACAGCCACTGCACAGGGGTTTTTGCTCCTGTAGACAAAGTCTGTAGTCTACCAGTATAAAGGTAGAGAATATGAATAGCCCTCTGTACAGTATATTTCACTTTTAGTGGTGGGGAAAATCAGCAGAAATCCAGTTGCTGAGTTATTGTCAAGCCAGGTATTAAGGACATCAATCCTGTTCAAGATATTTTGTTTTGTTTGCATTGTTTGCTGTTTGTATGTATTGATATTTTTCACAACAATTGTACAACATAAAAACACATAATGTATAGTGCTGACCTAATGCTCCGCATGTATACAGATTTCATTGAAGTTTGAATGTTGAAAAATCTTTTCAACCTCATTCTTCAGTTCAATGTGTGGATCTTTGACTTTAATCAATGTTTTAATATATATGGAAAAAATGTTAATACGTTTTACATAATTATAGCAAAATTAATTAAACAAAAAATTTATCTTGTGTTTTAGGATCTATCTGGCTCTATTGACGACCTTCCCACTGGTACAGAGGCCGGAGTGGGCGCTTCCAGTGCTGCCAGCTCTTCCAGTGGCAGTAGCAGCCAAGGGGAGCAGGGAGGTGCCAATGCCCAGGGACAGTCCCCCTTCTCACCCCACGCCTCTCCTCACCTCCCCAGCCATCGGAGCGGACCTTCTCCCTCCCCTGTGGGCTCCCCGGCTGGCTCCACACAGTCCCAGCAATCCCGCACCGGCTCTGGGCCCATCTCCCCAGCCAACGGCCCCTCTGCTAACACTGCAGCAGGTAGGCATGCCATCACTCCTCCAGCCGGTGATATAAAACATCACAAATCACAAGAAACATGAGAACGCTGTGAGCCACACTCCACTCCAGCCTATATCCTGCACTACTGTGTCGGATTCCCTGGGAAATCTGCAAAATGACTTTACAGCTTAAAGGGAAATTGCTTTGTGCCACCAAACAAGGGCTTCTGTTTGAGAGCAAATGAGAACACAGGCAAATCTCCCAGATGGTTATGTCACGTCAGTTGTATTGCTTTTGACAGCGGTAACAACAGCAGCTGGGACATTAGAGACGCTTTTGTGGTCAGCTTTTTACCAAACAAACCATGAAGCATCATTGGCCAGTATGTCAGGCAAAAGCACCGTTTCCTATACCAATAGTTCAGCTTGACCTTTCAATTTCTCCAGCCACTTAGAGGCTTCGGCTTGCTTTCATTTGTTTTTGAATATGTGCAATTTAAGAGACCTTTTCAAAGGGCAGAGGACTGACCTCAATGTAATTGTGCATTTATACCGTTTCTTTACACTTGAGACAAAAATTATATATAGAGTAAGGACATATTATAACAAGCAAGTGTTGTTGTCTGCTTTTAGTTCTTTTAATTTGTTTTTTGATTCAGGTTAACACAACAATTTGTAAAAGCGCAAGGTCAGGTTTTTTTCTCTGCTGTCAAATTTGTCACTTGTCAGAAAGTGTCTTATCAACACCCTAAATCTGCAAATTGTGGTATTTCTTTGCGGGCCCCAAAACCAAACTGTGGTCGTTTCAACATCCCGAAGCATAAACGTGCCAAACTCCCTCAATCTCTTTTCCTATCTGCAACACAGGACATAATCCAATCCGATCAATTTTCCTTCATTTGAACAGAGGATTAGTCTGGGAGTACACTGCTCCAAAGCCCAAATCATATCAATCTAGTGTCTAGACTCGGATATCTTTTTCTGCATTTCTGATCCTTATTCTCACTGCTGAACATTTTACACTTCGCCACTTCATCAGAAATGACTCATTCATTTTTTCTCCTACTTCCATAGTTGGGATTTGTTAAGCCTTTGATCAAGCCATGTAGTAGAATGTCCCTACATGACAGTGGATTCTATTAACTCTATCTCCCTTCCTCCTGACAAATTGTAAAACTTGCATATTTCAGGGAGACTATTTCCGCTTCATTTTGGTTCACTAATGAATTAAGACAGGCAGGTATTTGGGCCGCCTCCCATCAGATTTGAAGCCGCGGAAGGAAGAACACGCAACCATCCAGATTATCACACAATGCACTCCGTCCTTCCGTCTCCCGAGGCCAGAAGAGCGCGCGTTACAATTTAGATAAACACTGCGCATTAGAAAGTGGCGTGTGCTGCTGTCACGCCTTTCCTCTGGTTGGCAGTGAGTCTGACCGGCGCATCAGCATGTCTCAGACCTGCCAGTCACACTGACGCGAGGGGGCCAAAGTGTCTGGAGCCCAATCCCCCACGTCACGCCCCACCCGCGCTCCTTCCCCCCGCCGTCACCTCGGAGGCACGCGCTCTGGTGATTGACGCTAATGAAAAACTGGGACAGCGGTTTTTCTGGAATCCGGGCCAAGAATCACAACTCGGGATCCCAAATTACACAGCGAAGATGGGGGCATAAAGTCAGGGCTGGAGTATGGTTAATAAGAAGATGTTTAAAAATACATCCTGCCAAATACAATGGGTTATAATATGGAGTAAGTGCTTTTTAGTTGTTTTTGAACAAGCACTTTGAATGTGATGGAAGAGCAGGAACCCTTGAAAAGACATGGGAGAAGTAATGGTTATTATAGGTCTTATCATGGACAATTTTGCAGAATTCATTGCACTCCTGGGTTAAGTTAGTTAGAAGAACTGGTAGATGATTGACTCAGGGCATTATCTGTTACTTTGCCTTGTTCAAGTTATATCATATTTCACTAAAGGTGAGTATGTAACATTTCCCTGGCACTTGCTGGGTTGGGCAATGGGGAAATTCCACATGCGCACACTCAAATTAACTTGAAGCAATTGGGTTAATGGATTTTCCTCACGGACACATACTGTAGGCTGTGCAAAACAAGTGGCCGTTAGTTACCAACAACCTTGAGAACAACAAAGTTACTATACTGCTTTTACGTCTCCACAATAATTTTTTGAACCGTACATAGACTTAAACAAGAGCCCTGGCATCTCTTGAGCTTTGTTTTGGTCAAATGTATAAAGAAATCCCACCTTTCGGAATCCAAACATCTCATCAATTATTCAAAATGACAACTAATCAAACAAATGAACGAGAGCCCAAACTAGTCCACAAACCACTTGATGACTGAAACAATTTCGATAAGCAGAGTTTGAAACCATTTATTTTTATTCTAATCAATAAACCTGTAGCGCATTCGCCTTATCACTCTACAATGTCAAGTCTCTTATCTTTGACTCAGCTTTGGTTCAATCCAACTTTGACTGAACTCATTTTATTCAGATGAATTTGCCAGAAATGAATATCCCAAAAAATGTGGTCAAAATATCTCCAAAATAAACTTTCCACTTAAAGAAATTGATGGAGGCATTACTATTATTATATGTGTTTGGACGGAAAAACAGCTCTCAATTCAAAATGAGTTTGACAACCCCGTTTTTAGCAGCACAATTTTATTATTTGAATCTGGGTGTCACTATATTCCTCATATTCCTAGATGGACCAGTGCTTGTCAGCCAGCATCATGTCTGCAAACTGACTGGATGTGTCATGTGGTGCAGCACTTGGGGGACACGTTACCCTTGACAGCAGTCAGCGGAGAGAACACTTTCATTATGTCATCCATGGAAAATCTCACACCATAACAGTCAGGTCCAGCACTGACGCACTTTCACACTTATCCGTAAACAATTTCGTTTAGCTGTCCACCTGCGGTACACGTCCACACTCCAGATCACTCATATTGAATGGGAAAAGTGATGTAGAAGAGCGGGTAGAGTGACAGCCTGGCATCCAATCATACTTCACAACTGGCTCACAAATGTATCTTGTTGAAGCCTGTGATACCCTCTCCTTTTCTCCGCACTTTTCCTCGTGTCTTTTTTTTCCTCCCGTCTCCGTCTCCCCGTGAAGCAAATCCAATACACTGTAACATTATCCGGGCCTCGCCTTGCTATTTGGATTCTCTCTTGGAGCCAAAAAGGCACACGCGGGGCCAAATTGATTTTCCTGTTGCGCTAGATTTGTGACAGTCGAGCAGAAATCACATTGCAAGAAACGTAACACCCCCCCCCACCACACACACACGCATTCTCACACACACACAACCCACCTCCACACTCCACACTCAGCTGTTTATTCACACGCGCACCTCGTCATCCTCCCAGTATCTCCGAAGCAATTCAGAGCATCTCCCAAAATATTTTCCTCTCCTTTCCGCAAGACATGGGGGACGGGGCAGGGGGACAGCCATTCATCTTGCCGCCAGACGGACAGTGGAGGGGTGTGAGAGGAAAGACTGAATACAATATCCCATCAGGGGCTGTGAGCTGTGAGGAGATATGAACTCGTCGTGGTAAAGTGGATAAAGTGGGATAAAGTTGTTGTGGAAAATATTGGTTGCAATATATTATAAATACACAGAAAACACAGGCTAAGAACTCACTGGGGCTTGTTTGTTGAAAGCTTTTGAACTGTAGTAGCCAACTTTTTTACACCTAAATAATATGTTGTTTGTTCCATCAGTCTTATAAAAGCAAAGTGTTGTGAAAAAATCTGACCACAACATGCTGTCTTCATCTGATTACTTGTAAGAAAGTGCCCTGTGAGTCACTATTTTACGGATAGTGCTGGGGATTGAGTGTTTTTTTTTACTTTTCAGTCTGAAAAAGCAGATCTAAAGACCAAAATTGCATGTATGTGAAAGTGTTCAAACTTGAGAACGAGGAACGAGTTGGATGGATTGGATTACACAGTTAAAATTCATGTTAAAATTTAGGTACCCCAGCTTTTTTTCCCCAATCATTTCATGTAAACTCTGTCTACTACTAACTTTTTTGGGCTCGAGAAGGACAGAATGAAAACGTTTTTTTGTAACGTGGCAAACATTTCTGTTCATATTTTGTGTTTATTTATTCCATTTAAGCATTTGAATCATCATGTGTTTGGATAGACACAGGTCTAAAGGCCAGACTCCGATATGTCTCACAATACTATCACTAATTAACCAGAACATAATATTTTCTCTCTTTCCCCCGGATACTGCAACAACTTAGCCAAACATCTCTCTCTATTCCCCTCCTTTCGACTCAGCATGGAGGTCCTTTGAGGTCCAGTTAGCCTCCACCTTTCCTTTCTCCATCACCAAGCATGTTGTTATAATATATTCTTCTGAAGAGGTGATTGGAGCTGGTGGGCAAGCACTCGGGAGACTTTAAGAGCTGTTTATCTACACCAAGCCTTCAAGTGCTTCCAGGGCCTGAGCGAGGACACGGAGGTCAGGGCGAGAGAGGAGGAGCAGGGATGGGAGGCGTGAGAGTCTCAAGTTCAGACGCTTCGGGGTTGCTACACACCAAATCACAACTTGCTTTTCATCTGCCGCGTTTGTCCTTTACGCCGACTGTCCCCGAGCTCACCCCCTGGACTGCAATGTTTTAATGTTTTTATAAGGTATGCTAATCATGGCGAGCATAAACAGAAAAAAAAAGATAAACGCTATGCATCTAGACGTCTACTGCAGTCGTGGTCAAAGGTTGAGTGCAAACAAGTGGGAATGCTGCTGAGTCTTTGACCTCACAAGGCTATTTTTTAAAGCATGCAGTTAGTGGATGAGAAACCAGGCCACGGGGGAAGGAAAACTTGCGCTTTTCACTGTTTTGCTGGTTGTTATGAGAAAGCAACAGCGAAATGGTTGAAGGGCGGATAGATTTTATGCAAACGTGTTTTCCAGTGAGTTTTCTAGTCACCGCACTCCCTGAGAGGCTGCATGGTGGGAACAGCGCCTCTGGCTGTCCCTGTCCCATCGTCTTTCTCATTAGATTATGTGCGCGCTCTCTCTCTCTCTCTTCTGATTCCCCTTGTGTCTCTCGCCTTGTGCCCACCCCTTTTCTCCTGCCTTTGCCTTATTCTTTTTGCTCAGAGCACTGCTGTGGTACCCGGGCGTCCCAGCAATGAACACATCCCCCCCCCTCCATCTATAGTGCGCTTCTGTTATTTCTCCACAATACTCCTACCTCCAGCTCTTCACAATTCTACCTCCCCCCAGCACCATCCATAGCCCATCGCTCCCACATGCCGACGTTTCTGCTCTTCCTGATGGCTGCTCATGTTCAATGTGAAACAGCAAAATGCCCTCCCCGCAGGCATCACAATCACAAAGTACACTGTCGGCCAAAACAGAAACAAGAAAAAAAAGCTGTGGAGTTGCAGTGTTAGCCATTTAGAGAGATCCCATTCAAACTGACGAGAAAACCCAAACCGGTGCACCATGCGCAATTATTTCTCCTCTCCTACTGTACACCTATTCCCTTTCCTTCCCTACCTCCACCACTTCCCTGCTTGCTGTTTTTTAGCTTAAGCTTGCAATTTTGCTTTACTTACACTTGCTACTCAGTGGTGGAAGTAATGAGGATCTGGGGAGAGTGCTTGTTTTGCGAGCCACTGCAGGCCTGCGCTTGTCCCCTACAGGGAGAGTTAACTGGCATTAGCCCCCGGTGCGCAGAAGCATTGACTTGCACCTATTGAGATCTAAACCAGCATTATTGGAGCCTGCTGTTTATCTGCCTCCTCCCCCCAAAGACATGCCAAGTCGGGGATATGGGCTGGCTGTGTTTGTTGGTGGAAGCAGGTGTGTGCTTTTACAGCCTCAGGCCTGTAGGAGTGGTGCTGAAGCAGCCCTTTCTCTATATTGTACATTGGTGCTTAGACCGGACTTACCTCAATTCGATGAAGCCAGCCCTTGCTGCTTTTGTTGTGAGCTGTGAATGGACTTGGGGGTTATGAGTGCATGCGCCAATCTGATGGCTCCTGATAAGAGCATAACACATTTTCTTCTATGGGAAAACATGAACATTTTTTGTGCAGTTTAAAGTGCTGCAATTAGCACATTTCAAACAGCACATTAATTATAGAGTATTCACAAATCAAATCAATTTCTGTCTTAACTGACTGAAATGTATTGGACTCTTTTGTTTTTAGCAGTTTATAATTGAGTGGTTTTTTTTCTGAAATGCTTCTGAAGTTACTAAAGGGTTGAATATTATGTTCTTCTGTGTAAGTAGGTCAACATTGGATGAACTGTATGGGGTAAAATATGTCGCAAAGTGTATTCATTTCTTTGTGTACCCTCTTTACTTTTCTTTGTGACGTGTTTCCTGCATACATTCGGGAAACCTTACTGCTCCCAAAGGTTCTCTTAAACACAATTAGCACATGGCACTGCTCCTCACCATTCAATGACTGCAATTTACACCTTCTCTATTGCCCAGCTGGGTCCCCGCACACAACCACCCTGTTCCACCATCACATTTTGAGTTCCCTCCCACGTGAAAACTCTCCCCCTTCGTAGACAGGCCTTCGAGCGGCTTTGTCCCCGCTGACATTGGAGACGTTGGAACGCACCTGCACTAATGTTTGTTTTTTTGAGGGACGTGCAGAAGCGCATTAGTCTGGAGACATGAAAAGATCTAATGGACGCTCTGATGAGGGCTTTTTAGAAAGAAGCAAACTCTCGGAAGCCTCGGAGCAAGCAAGCAGAAGAGATTTTCAAACAAGGATGCACTTCGGAATGCAAGTCAAATCACTGTAATTTCCTCTTTGTGCAAAAAACGGCACTTAGCAAGCACATCCATTTTCTACTTTTTCCCATGATACACAGCACTGGGGCCACAAGTAATAAGAGTTCATTGAAATTTTTTTTTACGGAGATAATGCTGCCTACTAAAAAGCCAATACGCATTTTTAAATTTCTCTGACTGGCGAGGCAACCCGGAGTCCGCTTTGAAGAGACGCAGCGTTAGTCTTTGAAGCGTTTTTCATCAGGGTTTCAAACGTGAGCGCTGGCAAGTTCAAAGCTGAGGAGAGCACTTGTAGCCATATTCCTGTTTTGTTTCAGGGTCTTGGTAATATTAAGCTTATAGCAACCACTGTGTGTGTGCGAAATGCCAATGATGAAAAGTCGGCCGAGTCAATAAAAGGTCTCTTATTAATTGAAGATGAAAGGAAGAAGGGTGTAGAGTATGCATTAGGAAATAGGGAGAAAATGCAAGACTTTGGGACTTTGGAGCTTGCTGTTTTCTAAAGCAACAAGCAGGGCATGGCAAATTCTCGTAAGTCGTAATAATTTGATGAATACTTACATTATAGCAAGAAGAATCGTTTTATAGGGTAAACAAGTTTATGTGTATAGAACAGTTTGTACAAAAGGCTATAAGTGCTTCACAAAACCAGAAGGATATAGTTGGCACATTCTTAGAGTAGAATCTTGTCTGTTCCATATTTTTTCCGCATTAAATCTGAAGTGCTGCCAGTCCAGACTCTGGGCACCAGCAGAAGGCCAATCCCTGTGCTCCTTAAACAAACAATTGCTATATTGCATTTTCCTTGCTCAATGAACAAGCTATTATGAATATAAGATAATATAATTTTTAACTGAACAGATACAGAATGTTGTATGAAAGGGATTTAGCATTTACAAAGCAGTGTCAGAACCATTATCTGATCCATATAATTTTCCAATATTTGCAAAGATTAGAGCTGGAAGCAGTGTATAGATTTATCACAACTAATGATTATTTAAAGAGTTATCTAATAATAGTCAGCTAATGTAGTAATGAGTTAATCTTTCATGGAGTTAAAGAAGAGGTTTTATGACTCAGATAAGCATTGTGAGCATTGTTGAACTTCATGTTTTGTATAAGGAGGTTTGCAATCGTTACAAAATTTAATATTTTTGTTTGGTTTGTTCTTTGTTTACAGTTGTGGTTGTCGTTTTTATTTACTTACCCTTGGGAACTTGAACTTTCCATGTAACTTCTGCCATTCTCAAAAATCAACAATGATAATTCTGATTTTGGAAGTTTGTTCACTAAGCTATAATGGACATTTTCCCAACACAAAAGCAGGAGGCTGTAATATGGTTTTGCTTTGATCACAAGTTGTGTTCAAATTGTGTGATACTTGCATTTAACCTTGACAAAGGTGAAGTGCTGCTTAAATGTGACATTACTTTGAGTGGAATTCCTTCAGCACTTCCAAACAGCACTTTCTCGAGTGTTTTCTGGCTCACAGATCCATCCTTTTGCTGCACGCGCCGTGACAGACTAACTAATCAAATATTCTGTCTTTGAAGCCATGCTGCCGCCTCCATTCATGTGTGCTTTTGGGGGGTCCTCCTCACAAAACGCTTGCTCCTTTCTGCCGTTCTGTACTTTGTGTACTCTAAAGTGTAAATATACAGCTACTACTTGATGGCATTTGTGTGGGTGAATTACTGGCTGAATGTGTTGTTTATGCAGTTGTATTCAGAGCAATTACCTTGACTTAATTGAGTTTGTTTGTGTGAAGAGGGTGCCACCTCCAGTCGTGTGCTGCTGGGGCCTACTACACTTTCCATTATGAATCATTTGAAGTGTGGCGATGAATATAAACGCATGAGGACATAGTAGCAGTAACAAATACCAACTATCTAACTGAAACATGCCTTTGCTTGTTCGACAAACGGATACTGTCTTCTTCCTTTTGGTCAAATCAATTTCACCACATTTTCTGCCATTGTCCTTATCAGACCCTGGATTTTTCATTGGATTTCAATGAGGGAGACGCAGTTCAAAGACCCACACGAGCTTCTAATCAATGATCCTCAGATGGCTGTGATTCCCTGCTGTGTGTATGTGTTTGTGTGTGTGTGTGTGTGTGTGTGTGTGTGCGTGTGTGCGTGCGTGTGCTTGTCTGTGCGTGTGTGTGTACAGTGGGGTGACAGCAAAACGAATGTTATGTGTTATGTGGGATTGGCTGGTTGGCTGTGGACGATAACCTTTGTGTCTTCTCCCTGTTGTTTTTCAGGTTCATCAATAGCTGCACAGTGCTCTGGAAATGGACCAGAGGGAAGTCATCCTCCGGTCCCCCGCTCCCCCATGGCTCAGGATAGAGGTATCCTACAACAGGCCCTTGTGTAGACACATTTCAATCTGTTCACACATATTCATTGACAGAAAAGATAAGTTGTAAAAAAAAGAAAAGATTAAGGCTCAGAAGGTCCTTTTAATAAGAGAAAAGTATAAAGAAGCTACAGTATATGCTTAAAGGAATAGGCCACCGTTTTTACATACTGACATATGTTCTTACCTTACCCCTTTTTATCCGCTGAGAAAATCGACATGTTACATTTCTGTGTTACTATACTTTGTAGTGTAACACGTCACGTAACTGTATTTAAATAGGGAACACGTGGAAGAGTTTGGTAACTTCTAACGGGAGCTGATTTGTTACTATACACTCTGTGGAAGAGGCTGCGTTTTTGCTCCGTTTGCATGACAGAGCACACGGACAAAGACCAGACAGGTACATATCAACTAGTCTAAGAACATGTCAGTATGTAAAAATGGTGGCCTATTCCTTTAATGACAGAAAAGATAGTTGTGTGGTTGCAGTAAGCTGACATTGTGCTTTTGAGAAATCGCACACTCTACTGTTGTCTTCATGTGTGCAGACAAACTGCAGCTTGTGTAGGATATGTGTAAATAAAATTAAAATGGTGTAAATGGGCAGGAAAAGTTGTTACTAATTCAGTACGTAACAACTTGTTGGCCTTTCTACTTTTCCAGAATGGATAAAAGCATCTTGCTTGGTTTTATCATTAGGATTGGAAAGTCATTAGGTGCCAGGGTTCTCTTGGAACTCGTCTCCTGCTCCTGAGTTACTGTTTTGTTAGCATCACTAATAATGTTCACTGACATATTTGTTATATGGATATGAATGTGGTGAATCTGAATTGCACGGCCTTAAAAAGTATATCACTATTTCCTCTGTGTTACAGTGACAGGAATGGGTCTTTCCAACTACTTGATTTGTAATGAGTGAGTTAGAAATCAAAGATGTGACATCAAAATCTATGTTTAGTAACTGTTCATTTTATGCAGGTGAAACTTGTAAATTACTTTTGTAAGACAATTTAAAATATGAAAATAAATTTATGTCAGACTCATTACCCACAAAGTAAGATATAACAAGCCTTTATTAATAAAACACCTCAGAAGAATACATTGAAAATGGACTGTAAACCATAGTCATCCAAAGTAAAACAAACACAGGCTTGGCATTATGTAATGAGTATCATAACAGTGGTTTCATATCTCAAGTTGTATGAAGTAAATGAACTTTTTAACGATTTTAAAAAAATTGTATGTTATATAGTAAAAGTTTAAACAATATATTTAAAGCAGTGATGAAGTAGGCTTTCAAAAACAGAGGCTTATCAGACCAGTGGGCTTGAAATTGATTGGCTCATCTAAACTTGGAAACTAAAAATGAATCAGAGAAAACGTAAAAAGTGTAAAAAGCTATGAAAAAGCATTCACTCTCCCGTATACAAATGTTTTTTTCACCATCAGCGTTATGGTCTGTAAAGTTACATAGTAGTAGTAGTAGTAGTATTTTTATTTGAGCAGTTTGACAATACACAATAACATGCACAAATAATTCAAAAAAAGAAAAGAAAAAAGGCTCAAAAGGAGAAGGCCGAAGCAAAAGCTTATATGTGCCTTCCCCATTATCAATTAATTCATTTAAGCGGCTGCAAAATATTTAAAAATTTCACATGACATTCCTGATTTTTGCCATCATCATTTTTATCTTGTTGATGCAAACAAACAAAAATATCAGCAATGCTTATCAAATTATGTTCCATCCAGTTCATCGCAATAATAAATGTAATCTTCATTGTTTTTACAACATGTGGTGCATTCAGAGCTGTAGCCCCCTCTGTGTCTGGAAACTGTTCTGTGTAGTGCATTAAAAAGACAAGGCTTTATGGACCTATTGGAGGGAGGGGTCCTCTACCCAACAGACCCACACCATGTCTACCCTCATTCTCAATTTGTCAGAGCAGCTGGAGCGATGATACAAGAGGAACTACCAAACCAGATTTTTGTTGAGATAATTTCTCAAACTGACCTCAGAATGGAGATTTTGGTAGAATCAGGAATGATAAGTTACATACACAGCATATAGGAACAAATTAAGCATAGGGCTGCCCTCGTACCTCGGGTTTTTGCTTATCCATAAACAGGCTGAATGTCTGTACCCTTTCCCTCTCTTCTTCTCTCTCGCACAAATCCTCTGTGCTCCAGTTGTTGAGACATCCACAGAAAACCTTTATGTGTGACCATAAGAGTGCGGCGGGACTGAGGCTTGGAGAGAAAAATCCTTGAATGTGTTATTTGCTTTTAGCACTGTCTGCACAATGTTCCTTTCCCCGTCCATTTTCCAGGCAATTTAAAGTGCAGCATTACACAGTGTATTTTTTTCTCTGCCGGTCTCCCAGAATCCCCTTACCCTAATGGAAGCAAAACATTACAATAACATCCTAGCTCCTTAAACTCGGCACTCGCAGCCTAAGCACTTTTCAAACCGCGGCCGCTCTTTCTCTCCCTCCCACCCACAGTTCGCCTGATCTTCTGCAGCCTTTGCTTGTCTTATTCACGCAAACACGGCGAGCTTTTATTTTTTATCTCCTCGCGTTCGTGCTAAGGGGGCAAAAGCGGGCATGTATGTGGAGCTCCGGTTTGTACGTTTTATCTCCGCTCCGCTAGCAAAAACACGAGAAAGTACATGTGTTGGCTTGCACTTTCTTAACCGCTAAAGCCCACCGCTCACAAGTTGCTCTGTGTATTTGACAATAGCGTTTGGAAGTTTACAGTCAAGCGGACCCAATCCATTTAGGGCAGTTCTGTAATATAAAATGCACCTCTCCTTTACTCTCAATAGCCACTCGGTGACCTTTGCAGGTTTGTGTTGAAAGGAGGTGCTTTTTGAAATGAGTTAGATATTTTCAAAGCTTTCTGCCCATGTGAGGATTGCTTTAAAATGTCAATTTGAATGGTGATGTCCAGGTTCAGGCCTGAGGGGCTCAGTATGTCTATTGAGAGTAAATGGTGCAGGAAAAAGCTCTGAAAAAAATAGTTGTGAGCAAATTCCCAGGTTATTATGGAGAAAGGAGTTGGAGATTCAAGTAAGATATTATAATAACTTTGTCTTGAGGAATTAGTTTTGTCTTATTATTCCGGCCTTGTTATCATCTTCAAAACCTATATGATAAGACAGAGATTTTGTTTTAGTTTATTTTTTCAAAGTACATTTTAAGTGTGCATTACTTCATCACATATCTTGTGTTGTGTGCTCCTCATTTCTACTGTTCTGTAACTTTCCCCACTGTGGGATGAATTAAAGATCTCGTAATCTTAATCTAGTATTTCCCAATCAGCCCAAGTAAAAAGACTACAGTCACATTCATATGAATGACCTCGTCCACAGGACACATGAACAAACCAGTCCTAAAGTGTTTTTGTTTGGATGTCCTGAAGTTTCTGCTTACATGTCAGCTTGTCATTGTTAGGCCCATCTCTGGGTAACTGAAGCCAGGGATAATCTCTGTTTCCAAAGCAGGGATCTTTTAATCGGAAGAAAACACTCAAATTATCTTTAAAATCGATGAATATAATCCTAATAATAATCTTGTGTATACTATAGGTTTCATGTCCAATGTGCAGAGAAACCAGAGTGGCTCCCAGTTTGCCTGTCCACAGTCTGGACCCCCTACGTCCCCTCACCCCTCTTCAGGAGGCCCCGTATATCCAGGGATGGGCCCCTACTCCCAGAACACCTCGGGCCAGTACGGATCCCAAGGAGCACAGTATGGTCAGGGTAAGAGGACCACATAAAACACTTTTCTCTTAGCTAACTTTATTTTGAGTGTGATAGTTTTGAATGTTTTTGTTTTGTTGACAAAAAGTCAGAGACTCATTAAAGCTATGAATCTTTTAAGAGCAGAAAACACAATGAAGTGGAATTTGAAATTGTTGAGAAATAAACAGGCTAAAACACAGTAGTTTGAGTGATTACGGATCACAAATGGCACATTTTACAAAGTTAGCGCATGGTTTAACAATTAATTATGATAAAAACCTGTGATATTCTTGACTGTGCTGTCAGCTGATATCAGCCTGATAGCAGCTTACAGACAAACTGACTCACATACACTTCACTTTTAGTTTGTATTGATTTCTTTCATCTTAAACTTTTCTTAACTTATTGCATTGTGTGAATCACATCTTTGGAGAAGCACCAGAGAAGTTTAGTTTAGCTTTAGTATATGGGTATTTTCAAGTGTCACCTTGATGATCACGCCCATCCGCGCATGTGTTTTCCAACGCTCACATTCATTAATGTTGATTAATAGCCTTAATGCTTTTGGTATTTTGTCTCCCCTTCCACCCACTCTTATCTCTTAATGTGACTTTGGCTGGGCTGACAGCCCAGTAAGCTCAGAAGAAAGAGAAATAAAGCGCACAGAGAGCAGAGAAAGGAGGCGATGATGCCTGAGACGACAAGAGCGTGACATCTCAGAGTTGACAGTGGAGTGGTCCCATCACAACAGCTCTCTATATGCACTTACATGAAGTCGTATGGCTGCATATGCTCCCTTTGTTTGTGTTGAGGTTAAGAGAATATTTAGTAGCTACTCAGATTGAGTCATCTATATTAGTGGCATTGTATTGGTATACAACTTGAATAAAGTTTAAATGTTCACTGCAGGGTTTTTTTATTTCAGAGTGAATGAGGGTTTAGAGAAAGATCGTATTTACAGCAGACAAAGAATACTATTATACAATATAGATAAAAAAGCTTCATTATTACATTGTAGTGTGCATGTACATGCTCGAGATTGACCTTTGTAAGGTATTTTTAATCTCAATGGGTTTTAACCTGTTTAAATAAAGGTCAATTCTTATATATTGTTAAGAATCATATTTGTCCTGTTTTCACTCTGCTCCCAGATCCAGAGCACACAGTGTCACAGTGACTTTCTGTGTTGTGCTCTGTGCATACAGGTCGGCTGCTGCCCAGTTTTGTGACAGAGATAACACACACATTTGATATTGACCCAGCGGATCTGTGTTTACATGAAAACATTGGTGTCACTTTTGAGGTTTAGGTAAATGCTTTGTCAAAGTGCAACTTGTTGGCTGATCTAAAAGCTATCCTTTATCCAGTATATGGGGAACCTGAATACTGAGCCTTATTACTCCTCTGTCCATCTTTGTCCAGCAGGCGGATTCTGCTTTTACAGGACAAGGTTTGGAGAGAGTCCTAACCTGGGCTGCTTTCTCCTCTCACCCCGCTGGAGGGGTTAAGCACTCTGCTGGTAATGACCACGCTTCAGACTGCACTTTTAAGCCACGCTGCTCTGCTGCAGCCATGGTCTAATTCAGCCCAGGAAAAGGCTATGAGTCAAGCCAGTGCCTGGGGGAGAGAGAGGGGTTTGGAGGAAATTTGACAGCGTATGGAGCTGGCAGCCCCAAGGCGGCCCCGCACTCTGCTGAGGCTCAGACATCCTGCTGGGAAGGTGCTGAGGTGGCTCACAGAGGATGTACAGGCCTCAGGCAAGAGAAGGCTGCAGAAAACTCTCCACCCCAGTCAGCCGCGCACAGTGCACTGTATACACGTACCACAAGGAAAAGGACTAAAGTAGAAAGTTGTAACAGCATAAAAACTGTCAGAATACACCGTATCAAACACAGCTCCAACATTTTCTCATTTGTTGACACTTTTTGTTTCTACCTAAAAACCTCAGACATGAGCAGAAAGAGAATCCAAATAAAAGTGATTTTTCTTTGTGTTCCACTGTCCATGGATAAAAACCTTTGCTGGATTAAATGTGTCAGCATGTAATGTGAAGGGTGCACCCTCACACCCACGACTTCCCGTGCCTTCACAGTTTGCTGAGAAGGCAAGAGACTGTAATCTGCTCGGTCACACTGCTCTTTCCTGCAGGACTGCTGGGATTAAAGCTGGCACAGGACACAGTGTCTGGCAGTGGCGTGACGGGGCAGGGTATTTCCATGTAATCATGAACTAACCAGTGTGAGCCGTCCTTATTCCTCCTCGCGCTAAATACCTTCTCAGCCCAAAGGTACCACAGCAGTGAACCACAAGGACACACCAAGAACCACCTTCATTCTCCTTCTTGTCCTTCTCTGTCCACATCATATCTATCTGGGAAGGAAGACAAATCCCTAAATTGTCACATTAACCACTATCTCTCTGCTTCCATTAATGGAAGTGCTTACCACCAAAGATCCTCTCACACAAAGCATGTACAATAAACAGTGACATCAACTCAGTACCACCATTCCTGAACCTATAATTATTTGTCATTAATTCATGATGAATTGACAATGAATAGATACAAATGTGTACGTTTTTGGTCAGTTTCTTTCAGTAGTAGTCTCTGGACCCTGAACATTAATTTAATGTTCAGGGTCACAGGTGAACATGTTAGGCGTTCAAAACCTGATCAAAATGTTTTTGATTGAATTTTTGAAATAAGTCGTTCAACAACATACTGTGGCAGCCAATTTTCTTTGTTTCAAGTTTTCACATGTTTTTTTGTGAAGCGTGATTTAATTTCCAATCTCTCATTTAAGCAGTCTGAAGAGCCCTCCATCACACATGAATAAAGCTCCTGTCTCCAAACTCCTGTTTAAAAAGTGGGTTAGTGCGCTATCTGTCCTTGAAAAAGTCTTTGGCTGCCATAGCACCAATCCTTCAGGAAATGAATCATTCTTGTCAGTGTGGAACAAACCTCCCAAAGGAAAGCTTAGAATTAACCCAGTCCCTGTGCTACTCCGTCTTGTCTGTGTCAGCCCCAGTAACTCTGCACTCAATGGTGCTCCAGTATGACTGAGAACCATTTACACAGCAACGAATCAGTTAACTCTAAACTACATATTTAGCTTTTGTCAACATGCAATACAATAATTTCACTGAAATTATACAGTAGTATACCCTATGTGTTAGATATCATCATGTACTTTTTATACATTTTCTCACAACCACACACCCTCCAGGACAGCAAATGAAACTAAAGGCACACTATGTACTGTACATAGTTATTACAATTATATAGAAGCAATGTCCACAAATATCATTGCCCATCGCCCCAGCGAGTGAGGGGGCTTCCATTTTACAGCCATCGTTTTAGTATCCCCTCCAAGAGAACCCTCTGCTTCACCTGGATCAGGTCAAGCTAATAGAAGTCATTTATTATTGTATTATTTCTTATCAAAATGTATTATATTTTTGGTTTCTGTCCTGGACCTGTGTGGGTTTTTGTAAGATTTGAAAAGAAAATATTGTAAATAATGTACATATTTTATTCTTGAACATCAAAACTAAAACATATTTTCTTGTTTGTACAGTATTATATTCCATAAATTGAATCATGTTATTCCCTCTGGAGTAACTTAGAGAAGTCTCTTGTCTCCCATTGGTCTCACAGCTGCTTGCAGAGAATGTTCCCAGGACTTTCCAACGGAAACATGTCTTCTTTGACTGTCCGTCTCTGAAGTCCTCAGTTTGCCTTCACGCAGACCAGATGGACACACATGCTCAATGCACTGATGTACAAGCCTCTGCGTATCCTCTTGTGTTCGTTAGCCGGCATCCTTTCTTCCTGAACACTTCCCTATTATATTCCCCCAAAACCCTTGACAGGTGTCAGCTGTACTGACTGCTCACCAAAGCCTCCCCCAAATAATCCGCTTCTCTTTTTCCCATCTCCAGACATAGATTTCATCACAATTTCTGGACAAATTCAAGTTGAGGCGCTGAGTTTTATGGGAGATCTTGGCTCAATATAAATCCTATCTTGGGGGTTGAAGGTGTTGAAGTTTCATAGCGGTTGCTGTTTGTTGGGTTTTATTGCACCCCACCCTCCGAAAATGTGGCACTCACAAGATTATGTCATGTGAAAAGTGTCTTGAGCTCCAGGACACTCAAAAGCCATTTTCATTCCTTGTCGTCTATCCCTTCCCATGCAAAAGATTGTCATTCAACTTCCGCTCGTCTGGTGCTCGAAAAAAGCCTGCAGGTTTTTAAGAGACTTGATCCCCTTTTCCAGACACATTCTCAGAGGATTAAGCCGCAAGGCCCAACCAAAGCGCCCTTAATCAAATCAAAATAAATAGCCTCTTTCACAATAGAGGATGCCACACTTTCCATTTCCTATTTTGCGTGGATTTGTCCCAGGGAGGGAAGATCACAGTGGCTGCCGAGAGAGTGGATATATTGCCCTGTCTTCAATGTGTGTGCGTGTGTACGTGCCCTTCCCCTGTTAGTGTGGGGCCGCATGTAGATGTTGCCTTTGACCACATGGAGATTTCTTTTGCTGAAGTTGGTGTCACGCTGAGCCAAAACGGAGAGGTTTAAGTGCACCTTTGGAGAGTCACAGGCACTGGAACCGTGCAGCACTACGGGATAGAAAGAAAGCATTTACCGCGGATTAAAGTGGTTAGGCTTAAACTAGCAATTGTTCCCTGGGCCATCTTGGAACCTGTGAAAATGTCATCATTGCTCACCCCGGATAGCCTCTTCTACGGGTCCGGTTTCGATTTACTTTTGTGTAGCCCTATGTCACAACAGCAGTTGTCTTGGAGGACTTTATAACATTGTCCATTCACCAAAAACAGATTAGAGCATGGGTGTCAAAGTCAAGGCCTGGGGGCCAGATGCGGCCCGCAAATGAATCATCTTGGCCCCCGGAATGATATTTGATTAGTATTAGAAACGGACAGCACAGAGCCATAATCTCTTTGAAGCAAGTTTGTTTTTGTCTGTGTAAATAAAATGCGGTACACTGTGTTAGGTCTTGGTTCAGGTTAAATGAAATCATTTGAATATGTTTTAATAAACATTGAATCAGTCCGGCCCTCGGCTTGTAGCAAATTTGTTTTTTTGGCCTCTGATGTATTTGACTTTGACATCCCTAGATTAGAGAATCAAAACAGGACATTAGAACAAAGAAAATGCACTGTTGAAAGACACATGTACTCGTGGGGAAATGTCTGTGTTACATTACAGGTAGTAGGAATAAAGTGCTGCAAATGCTTCTTTAGCTTTAAAGATACCATTTTTGACTTTTCTGCTTTAAACATCACTGCAGTTTTCTTTCAAGCTTTAGTTAAAAAACAATCTTTCTTTTTCATTCTAGAGAGGCAGCAAAACGCCCGGGTCTACATCTGTGATGATTTCAACATAGACGAGAAATATGATGCACTTTTCTTTTTTAAATGGTTGTTGAATATGGTGCGGTCCTCGTCCACCACATATACTGTTTTTCTGCTTTTGTCAGTGACTAAAAGTTTTGGGATCATGTCAACTTGGAGAACATTTGTGACGGACTATTTGGCCCAAGAAGGGAGAATGCGGCTTGACTTTTTTCATGGGGATCTGTCTCTGCAATCTGCGACATATCTGTTAATCTACAACACTAACACTTAGTCAAAAACTGATCTGGAAACCAGTATTATTCCTGCCATAAAAGACGATAACACAAAGCCCCGATCTGTAAGTACAGTGCTACTAACTTAATTAGGGTTTGATTATGAATCAAGGACATATTTACTGCTTAATGTGAATAAAGGTTTATTCTCAGGTCTGAAATGACCATGTACCAACGAATCTGAAGAATTTTCTTTGGAGATAAACAACTCAGCGTGAGGCTACGTCACTGTGTGGCCGGGGGGAGGCGGGTGAGGGGGGGGGGGGGGGGGGGACAGGCTCAGAGGCAGAGAAGTAGACTCCTCTCTGGATCAGCTCGATTGGGCTGAGGTGACATCGCAGAGATTCAAGAGATAGTTATATTCTATGTTGTTTTGTGTTCTGTTTGGTGTATTACTGAAATTATTATCACACATGTGCATAGGATGGACTGTGAAACATGAAGAAGAGTGCAATATGGCATCGTCAACTTCGTTAGAATCATTTATATGCTTTATATATACACATGTAATCTTTATAATTATACGAGCAGTAGGGTATTCTAATATCCTTGGGTCATCATGAATCATCACTGCCCCCCCTGCATCGACGATGATGATTTAATATGTTAGTTTAACATTCGTTCATTCATTTTCTACCCCTTTATTATTACATTTCTGGGTGGGGGGGGGGGTGGCAATGAGAGCTGCCACCCAATGCTCATAGCACCAGTCCCTCATTGATCCTCCTGCAGGTGGTGAGTCCAAGAATAATAGTTAAGTGTCTTGCCCAAGGACACATCAACAGCAGACATGAGTGGGAGCAGTTGGAGTAGGTCTTGTGGGGGAAATGAACCCATGTTCTACCAACTTTTAATGCCCATTGAAAGTGGTCCACATTGAGATTCACATTATGTGTTAATGCTCTACAACATACTCCTGGTGTTTTTGTAAATCAAACGTGTATAGGAGGATTTTCCAAAATTTTTGGAACAAACCGCCCTCTCCACTTTTTGAAGAAAAAACTCTTGTTTGACAGCATGTATCACCAGAATGACTGACAATTCAGAGGACCAATAATCTTAGTGATCCACCCGGATGTAGAAAATTCCCCTAAATACCTTTAAGATTAAGAGATCCTTTATTTGTCCCACAGTGGGGAAATGTCAGTGTTGCATCCCCAGTTACAGAACAGTAGGGATGTGGAAATGTGGAGCACAACACAAGATACATGAACAATAACTCTAATGAAAATCCCATGCCAGATGTGTTTGTCATGTTTAGTAAGTGACCTGTCTTTGCAGGTAACTATCCTCGACCATCCAACTACAGCGGCAGCTACAGTGGTCCAGCGATGAACAACTGTATGGGAATGAACTCCACCAGTCCCATGCAAGGCCAAGGCCCGAGCCAGCCCGGTGCCCTGGGACGCAACAACGGCCCACAACAGAATCACAACAGAGGCTACCCCCCAGTGGCCCCGAGCTCCCCCAGCATGCCACAGTCTGCGGGGATGGGACCTCCAGCTTTGGGCACGGCAAACCGCAAACCCCAAGACACAGCAACAATGTCTGGGTCCGATCACTCTACGCAAAACAGGTATGCTTCAGGTTGTCGGATAGTTTTTATTCTACCGCTTCCATGTGTGTAATATTACTTAGCAATATTAGATTCAATGGCAAGACGGGTCTGTATATGAATTGCTCAGTCCAACCACAAGTGCTGGGGATATCAAAAGAATTATTTCAGTAAAACTTGTGTTTACTGGGGCAGGTGCACTTTTTTTGCTTTTCTGGAAATTGTGGTTGCAGATTGATCATTTTAAGTTGCAGGTGCATGCTTTTTTCATAAATTGAATCATATACATACAGCATGTTTTAATAAAATCTAGAACCTTCCAGGCAGAACAGCTGGATTTCCATTGGGTCAAAGCAGGGGATGGACCCTTCACTGGAAATGTGTTCACTGGAAGAGAGAAGCTTTCTAATGTAATGAATAAGGAAAGTGCTCAAATTCATGATTGAGTTGAGAATCACCATCATTGCATTCCTCAGCGAGTGCGTGAGTCCCAATCTCTGCTCCGAGCTTTTCATAGTCTGTATTTGCACACGTTCGATAAGACAAAAAACAGGAAACAGCAAAACAATTTCAAGTCAATTTATTCTTGTATAGCCCTAAAATCACAACATCTCAGAGGACTTAACAAAACCGTGCAAAACGCCAACACAGATCAGAGAATAGAATAGTTCAAATACAAAAAAATATAGAACTCCTATAATCTGTATTTAAAACAAACCTCTTCCATTTTGGCGAAAATCACAAACAACCGGTGAAAGGAGACTCCTGATTGCTGCTGCGCATAATGATTGACAGTGGAGAATCATTAATGGAAACTTCTATATTTTGAATGTTACAAATATCTCTCTCTTTTTCTGACACTTGGCTTATTTTATGTTGGGATGCATGACAAATTGTGCATTCTCAATTCTGCCCTCTGTAACTGGTGGCAGATTTTCTGGCTGAAGTTACTGGAAACAAATGCGACTGTCTTTCTGCCTTTACATGTGTCAGAAAGCAGAGGGTTGGTCCTATCGTAACGTGTCATCTTGTGTTCATAGAAATAGTATTGTTCAGGCTGAAATGTTTACTACCTGCCTACTTTTAACATATGAATCAAGAGGCCGTTTAAATTATTATACAGTATGCTAAGAGTTATATCGCATCCTCTCCATGTAAGACATTTGTTGAGTTTAGTTTGAGTCGTGACAATCCAATAATATACAACTTCTAAAGCAGTGTTCCCCAACCTTTTTGAACCATGGCACCTTTTTCATTGAGAACCATCCCATGGCAACCCAGCTGAAAATTATACAAACTTGAAACTCTGCAGCCTTTGATAAATATATATATATATATATAAGTAATTTTCATCTCAGAGCAAAAAGGTCTGTCTAATCTTCTCATACCATTTCCTTTTCCCATATTTTGACCGATAAAGTGACATTGGGTCATTTCCAAAGGCACACCAACCAACATATAACTGCAAACTGGCTGAAAAAAACCGTTCAATACCATATTGAAGAGCATTCAAAGTAACACAGCCACACTTCCTCTGCAATAAGTCATAACTCATCAGAAAAGTTGCGCCCTGCACCTGTAAAATGTACTTTTATTCTTTTTTTACATAACATAGAGTTTCCAAGCTTAGTGTTTGTGTAATTCTATTCTGTAGGGAGATGTGCAGAGGAGCATCACAAAGACCTGCCGTCATCCCTTCAGATCTATGGCCAAGACTGGTCCTCTTGGGTTTCTGCACTTTTATAATCCATTTACAGAAGTATCTCTGCGTTCACACATCTCATAAAGCCCCTGACAGTTTGATTGCTCGTGCTACAAGCCAAGTGCCAGAATAAAAGATATGGGCCTGTATGAAGTCTCTATAAATGGAAACTACACTGTCCAAACAGAAAAGCATGTGTGGGATTGAACTGAATATATGACTTCCATACTCTAAAATCTGTTCTATTTCATCCCTTCAGACCGCCAGAGGGCGGTGCATAGCACTGAATGTTCCCTTCGCGCATGCGCAGTTCGAGTAATAATACCAAATGAGTCACACCTGTGACCCCCTGGGTGACACACCGGAGGTAATAAAGTCCAGCGTCATCCAGCACTCTGTTCCTTTTTTCTTCTCGCGTGCGGTTCGAATCGTTGTTGCTTGAACTTCGTCAACGTCTGTCGCTGAGAGCCCTCTTCATCGGAGCTGCGGTTCGCCCTCCGTGGGGCGCGACGGTGACGTTGTCCTTCGGGTATTTATCGGTGTTTTCTGTACTATATGCGTGTGTATTGGTTGGTGTGAAGGCTGCTGTGGCGCCCGCTCCTCCGTCAGTACTTTCTTTTGGTACGTGCATTTCGTGGTGTGAGGGCTGCGGTTCGTTGGCCTGCTCCTCCGCCTGTGCATGTTTGAGTTAGCTTTGCTAACTGTGTATTGAGTGGTGTGAGGCTGCGGTTCGTTAGCCCGCTCCTCCATCGGTTCTTATTTGGGTTAGCCTTTTGCTACCTGTGTGGTGTGAGGCTGCGGTTCCGCTCCTCCATCCGTTCTTAGTTGGGTTAGTTTTTGCTACCCGTGTCCTCTGTGGTGTCAAGGCTGCTGTTCGCGCGCCCGCTCCTCCATCAGTTCTTCTTTGGGTTAGTTTTTATTACCGGTGTCCTCTGTGGTGTGAGGCTGCGGTTCCGCTCCTCCATCCGTTCTTAGTTGGGTTAGTTTTTGCTACCCGTGTCCTCTGTGGTGTGAAGGCTGCTGTTCGCGCGCCCGCTCCTCCATCAGTTCTTCTTTGGGTTAGTTTTTATTACCGGTGTCCTCTGTGGTGTGAAGGCTGCGGTTCGTTGTCCCGCTCCTCCATCAGTTCTTGTTTGGGTTAGCATTTGCTGCCTGTGTTTATTCTGTGGCCGGTGTATTGTGTGGTGTGAAGGCTGCTGTTGGCGCGCCCTCTCCTCCATCGCTACTTTATTTTGAGTTGGCGTTTTACTGCCGGTGTATTGTGTGGTGTGACGGCTGCTGTTTCGCGCGCCCTCTCCTCCATCACTACTTTATTCGAGTGGCATTTTGCTGCGGGTGCATTGTGTGGTGTGAAGGCTGCTGTTCGCGCGTCCGCTCCTCCACCGTGCTATATTTGGCTTTTCTGTTGTGAAACTGCAATACGTTGATTCAGTTTTGCAGTTTGTATACCGTTGGGGATTAATTACATATTTAATTAACGACTCAGTCGAAACAAGAATAATAATTTAATAATAATAATAAAAAAAAATAATAATAATAATAATAATAAAAGAAATACAACCTTGTTGTTATGGACGGGTCACATGCGTGTGTGGGCTGCGGGTCAGCACTCGATGTTGATGACGGCCATGACCTGTGTCCGGCGTGCCTCGGCCCCACTCACTTGAGGGAGGCAGTGTCCGATAACCCGTGCATGAACTGCAGCTGCTTGCCCTGGGCTGTTAGGGTGGCGAGGCTGGTTCAGCTGCCTTCGTCTGGCGACGGTGGTAGTTTGCCAGTGGGACCTGCTGTGGCTCCGCCCCCTCGGCGTTCTAAGCGCCGTGCTGAGGCCTGTGCTTCAGGGGAGCGGTCTGATGGCCATGGTCCTTCCAAGCAGGCCAAGCCGGATGCTGTCCTGGTGTCGAGGGTGGAGCAGTTATCTGCAGAGTTGGAGGCGATGAAATCTGCATTCCAGGCACGTTGTGCTGCTGATGCAGTCTCTGGGGCTGGTTCTTGCTCCATGCCATCCCTCCATCCGGAGGAGGATGTGCTTTCTCTGGCGGCATCTGCTTCGTGCTTCCGGGACGAGGATGACGCGCGGTCCCTTTCGGGGGATGATGCTTATTCTTCCGCACATAGTGTGTCCAGCCGGTCTGGTGACGGCTCAATGCAGGAGGTTCTTCGCAGGGCCTTATCCCGTCTGCAGGTGGAACTTCCCCAGTCGGGACAGGCTGACCCTGGCAGTGTTTTTTTCAGGCGTGGTGGTTCGTCTCCTGCTTTTGTTGTGCCCCCGTCCGCGGAGTATCTGAAGGAGCTACACGCGTGCTGGAGGGACCCCAGCCGTCTCTCTAAGCTTTCGGCTGAGGGTCGGGCTTTGGCCGCGATGCACGATGCCTCTTCGGCTGGCCTGGATTGCATGCCGGCTGTTGAGCCGGCGGTTGCCTCCCTCATTGTTTCCCCGGAGGAGTCCTTGCGGGAGAATGTGAGGTGCCCTCGGAGCCAGTGTCGTGCGACGGATCACTTGCTAACAAAGGCCTACAATTCTGGTGCTCGAGCTGGCCGTATTGGTAACTCCTTAGCGCATCTGCTGCTTGCCCTGTCTGCCTCCCTCCAAGAGGGTAGTGCTGTGGGCACTGATGTTACTGCGTTTAGCGACGCAGCTCTGCACGCTTTTGCCTTGATGACCAGGGAACTCGGACGGGTCATGTCGGTCCTTGTACAGGCTCGTCGGCAGGTATGGCTGGCTCAGTCTCCCCTGACTGAGGCCTGTCGTAGGACCCTCCGTGACGTGCCTGTCGAGCCGGGTCAGATGTTTGGGACGGCGGCCCAGGAAGCATTGGACCGGACTGTCCATGCTGGTCAGACTAGACAGCAACTTTCTAGCCTTAGCAGGGTGGTGCGCCCTCCCCGGCAGTTTTTGCGCCCGATGGTGGCCCCCGGTGTTCGGCAGCCTCCTCGGGATTGGACTGGTGCTCAGCGTTTTCCCCAGGTCAGGCCTGCCGGGAATTTTCGTGCCCCACCCGTACATAGGCGCCCGACCCGCACGCCAAGTGGCGCCGCGGCTGGTCCTGGGCGGGGTCCCCCCAGAGCCCCTAGGGGGCGGGGGGCACGGAATTGACGCCTCAGGGCCGAGCGTCGGACATTTTTCCCATCAGCAGCTCGAGTGTTGGGCTGCTCGAGCTCGGGATCCGTGGGTGGTTGCCACATTGACCCACGGATACCGTCTGCAATTCCGACGCCGGCCGCACTTGTCGGGCCGGGTCAAGGTTACTTTGTTCTCGGACCCGGCAAAAGCCTTTATCTTGGATCAGGAGCTCTCCGCCCTCCTGACCAAGGGTGC